AATTAGAGATTCCAGAAAGAGGAAAACTAGAGATCCTGTGTCTTGAACTTCACTACCTACCATTCTTACTTCTCACAGGGGTAAAACCAAGCTGGAGCAATCAAGAATGCAGCTCTGGTGCTTTTTAACCAGGTAGAGCAACGTGTCACCACTTTCACACAGGTTACCTAAGCAAGTTATACATATATATGTGTATATATATATAATCACTTTTTAATGGATTTTGACTGGCCTGCATGCTATTCAGCTATGTACCTTCCCTATCCATTGCAAGACAGTAGAAACATGCACAGCTGCTCTCTGCTGAGTCATGGGACTCACATCACAGCATGGTCAGGCGGGACTGGCAACCCCGACATACATATTTTAACTCTGCTAATGATTTTTCTGGATATTTTAATACAGTCTTTAGCAATAACTGCATGCTCTACAGGTTTTGAAGTATGGATCATAAAAGTACGGGAATGTTATACGTTAAAGAGGTCAAAGAAAAAGGGAGCATGCATAGTTTTTAAAAAATAAAAACAACCCTTTTTGATTCAGCCCTTATAAATGTAAATATTTAATGAAATAAGTGATTTATGTAATGATTACTGCCACAACTTCAGCTCCTTAATGAATAACATTTAAACTATTGCAGTAGCTACTTGCATAAAAATTACACTGTTATACTTTTAAATCTACAATGCACTGTAATGCAAATCTTCAAGATGCTACAAACTACAGTCTGTATCCATTTGGGCAGTGCATATCTTGAGTTTTATAAACTGTAAGCAGAGCAAACAGTTTAATAATTGCTAAAATTATACTTAGCAAATAACCCCCCTTAAAAAACTCTCAAAGCAAAGCATTTTACAAATACTCTTTTCTTAAACTTTAAACTCTTTCATAAATAGTGGTATTTTGGAATGTGTTTCATGATAGCAGTCTGTGACTGAGTTGGGGGACTTTACTTGGTGTAAATTACAAAGACTGGAGTAGTTGGCATCATTTTTATAAAATTCAATATATATTTACCCTAGGGTTTTTTTCATTATAGGCAAGTATAATCTCCATTGATGCATAATTGGCAGAGCCTTCAGGAATAGGGACAGCAAATATTGCACAGGAGCCAAAATTACATGAAACTAAGGAGGTCAAATTATCCTAGTAAAACTAGGTGTCAAAATTCTGTTGGGACTGAGATTTCAGTCCTAAAGCAGGATTCAAAGCTGTTTCCTTCAGGCAGAGTCTCACTGGCTTCAAAAGGATAACCAAATGGTTTGTTTTGTACCATTGATTATAGTGTAGTATGATCTACCTATATTATACCATAGTATAAATCATCCAGAGATGCCAAAAGAAATTCACATTGGTGTGTATTCTGAAAATTCTCAGATTTTACTGATTAAATTTTAAACCAAGATATGCTTCAAACATCAAATAAAACTCTAAGGAAAGATATTTTTAAAGTGGTTTTCTTAATACGATATAAAAGTCAAATGTCATAAGATCGGAGATTTAAAGTCAGTTTAGAATCACTTTGGAATCATTGATCCCCATTATTGTATATTTTGTCACTCAATTACAGTGCAGCTTTCAAGATTCAAAGGATAAAACCACATGGCTGAATTACTAAAGGCAATTTGTAATGGCTGAATCCCTTTATTTTATTGTCACTTGAATCATGAAGCCGTTTGTAAAGCTTAAAATTTTAGTAGCCTGCTCTTGCTCTTATTGAAATCTAGAATAAAATCAAATGAGAGCAAGACCGGGCCTTAAGTGAATGCATTTTCTTGTAAATGGGCACATTAACATGCTGTTGAAAAGAGATGCACTGCTCTGAAAGGACAGTATGGGGGCTGATTATACATACATTAACCAAGTATTTGGGTTGGTGATGAAGCATTTTTTTATGTTATATCCTATACAATAATATTTATAATACTATTTTCAGAAAAATATATTCCCATTGAGGTAGTCTTATTTTTTATTTTATTTTCGTGTGTGATTTCCACAGTATTGCTCAGGCTTCTGCTCTAGTCAAGCATGTCATTTTGCTGATTCAGGCCTTGAGAATGCTGCATCATAAGCAATTGCTTTCAAATGTATCCTTGTAAAGGAAAATGTGATACCACTGAAGATGCAAATAAGTATTTACAGGGCATGGCGTGTTCTAGAGGCTGATAATCGCATTTATGAGGTGAAAAGAAGATTGTGTTAATCCATCACGTATCTTGAGTTTCCTATTAGTTTTATTAGTTTTATTGCTAGAAAAAAAAAGATCATTAAAGTCACCTTATTTAAAATGCAATGGTTCTTTCCTAATTTAGGGTCTTGAAGCAAAGAAGAGGAGTTTTATTAACTTAATGAGGTTTTTTTATAATGTATTCATTTCAGATTATTTGAAAAATAATGAAGAGAATGCTTTATGTGAAAAATAATGAAGAGAATTATAGTAGGTTTTGTTTATACTGATTATAAATTGCACTTCTGTGACTTGGTTTTTAGCAACTATGCTGACAGGACTATCTGCAACAGAGTTTACATGGGAAGATGCACTTAAAAAATTGATTGCCCTTTAATTGGCACTCATATAGATTAATAACTGACGCTTACTATGAACCTTTATCTTGCTACTATTAAGTCAGTAATTGATTTAATGATGATGGATCAGGCCATGAATTAGTTTTAATTTTCCTAACTTGAACATGACAGATTATTATTTTCACAATATTTGATTTTTATTTAATGAAGAAACTGCCTATAATTTCAGTGAGAGGTTTCAGACTTCTTATTTCTTTGTATTACAATGATATATAAAAAAAGAGTTAATTCACAGATCTTATTTCCTTTTTAAAAGAGAGCCTTATGTGTGGATAATAAGGTGGTGTGCTAATAATGCTTAATATAGTGTACATTAATGTGCATTTTGGTCTGTAAATGTAATACAGAAAGCAAAGTTTAAAATATTCTCACTATATGAGGTACACAATATTTTATTTCAGACTTACTGATCTATATGACCAGTAATAAAATGATTCCATTTAGAGGCAATACGGCTGTAACTATTTTACATATATAAATTTTGGAAATCATAGAGGAGGTTCAGCATGAAAAAGGAAACATGATATTTTAACATGTTTACTAAGCAAAAATTAATCATTGGAACATCCAAATCTCAATGTATTTATCCAAATATTTTCACATTTGTCAGTGTGATTTTCCATGTATGACAGATCATGATATTTAAGAAGGGAAAGAATGGTTTTCAAACTCATACCTGTGTGCTTGTCAGAAATCTCTTCTATTATGCGACACATATTTATTTTTGGTCACAATGCAGTAACAGCCATGCAACCTGAGGTCTGAGTGACCCTACATTGACTACATTTGCATGTGTGTGTGAAGCGCAGCTTCTTGAAACTTAACCCCTGAAAGTTATCCATCACCCAACACGAATTTTTTTTTAAACTTCATTCATCTCATGTAAAAGTTGAATATGAGGAAAGAATTGCTTACCAAACTATATAAAGATATATGTGCCATTTACTTCATTTCTGGCAGAAAAAAGCCCTTAGCTCCCAATGCATTTTTCCTGAAGGGACTGGGTTTTAACTGAAGAGTTAAATAACTAGTTTTAATTTGCAGCAGTGTCTCTGAAGAAGAGAATATATGGAAATGCCTCTTTAAGAAGTTATTGTTCATTATTTGTTGCAAAACCATGCAAATCATCTGAACAGTATTTTTTTATATATTCTAAAAATGTCACTATCTTGAAAACTAAATGCAAAAAGTAATTGGTATTAAGCATTCTTTCAAAAAATTTGTATAGAATGGTCTTCATATAGGTCAAAGGGCATGACCAGGTCTGCTTAGCTGAAACCACAAATCTAGTCTGTGACCAAATGCCCTTTTGTTACACCAGTGCCTGTACAATTTAAAGTATTTAAGTTAGAGGTGCATTCTAGATCCCCCTCGAAATCCCTGTGTATTACTGCTACATGATATAAACCAAAAGTATTTCACTGCCGTGCTTTTTTTAATGTTGCTTTCTGATTACAAGCCTTATTTCACCGTAAAAGAGAATGTATTTTGGATCAAAGCAATTAAAGATGCAAACAGTATTGACAACTGAAAACAAATTACAAACTCTATGTCCAATTATTGCATTAGTATTGTGCATCTTTAGCAGGTTTGTCCTTTCAAAATATGCTTTCTTAAAATGACAAAATTATGGGCAGTCTTGCATGACTGATAAACAGCTTGACCTGATCCAAATGGCAATGTACTTGGTAAAAAGTTACTTAATTTTAGTTGCTTTATATCACTCTCCAGTTCTTGCAGTTTTCAGATCTAGAAGTGCTTTTACCGTAGTAAGGACTATAGTATTTCACTGTACACAAAAGTAGTAGAATGATAAAGAAATCTGGGATGGAAAGGACCTCGGAAGGTCTCTCAATATGCACAGGAAACTGGAATGCAAAGAAGGTATTTTGGATTTGGTAATTTGTGCTTTCTGCAAAAATTAAACTGTGCAGAAATTTGCCATTAAATGCCATTAAATTTACAACTTTTTAATCCAGTTATGGTATATGTTTGTGAAAACACCATCTGTAGTGGACATGAAGATATAAGTGGAGCTTTCTGTTAGTTCATTTCGCTGGGAAAACTAAGACGCATTTTCAGTGTAATCCAGTATAGTAAAGAAAATGAAATAACTTGAGAGTGTGGTACATGCAAGTTCTCCAGTTTTACTACTACTGAGAATACTTCAGAAGTCTTATATTTGGATCAGGTTAGTAGCCAAATTATATTTAATTGTTCCCTATGAGAAGATAAACCGGGAAACAGAACTATACAACGTACATGTCATGTTTTTACTTATAGTGATGCATATTTCTCAGTATAAATTTAGTGTTCTTCAAAAGTCAGAGACTGGCATGATTTGATTCAGTATCATTTTTTTACAGCATATGTATCTAATGAGAAAAAATTGTTCTGTGGAACTTTACTTGCAGAAACTAAATGCATCCAGTTCATCAGAAGGCAGCACAGTTGATATTGCTCCTCCTGGAGAGGGCGAGCAAGCAGAAATTGAAAGTGAAGAAGCTCTTGAACCAGAAGCCTGTTTTACAGAAGGTTGTAGAATAACTGTTGACTTAAGAGATGTATTAGTAAAATGGAATTTTTACTAGGCATATTTAAGTTCTTGAGACTTTCAAATCTGGTGGACCTTCATGACCTCAGCAATTGAAAGAAAATACTCAGCCTAGAATGCTGGAAATCATGCCAAGACAAGGTTTCCCTAGGCTTTGAGTAGCTTTATCTGCCTGGCCACTCCATACATCTTGTGTGGATGTTAACTTCATTACCTTTTCTATTCTTAAAATGCTTTTCAGTTATTTGAAAGGGCCTTTGAAATTTGGAAAAAAATAATTTTTGTGAGACTCCATCAACAAATGGAACACTTACATGTCAACAGTCAAAAAGATCAATGTTTTTTTGATTGAGTTTACTCATAATTATGTCTACTATTGTCTGGTTTCTCTCAAAATTATTTATCTAAATTCAGATATTCAGTATCCTATAAAAGAGGATTCCAGTGTTTAGTTTAAAAAATTAGTATAAAATTTGTTAAAGCTTCTAACAATTTTGATACCACAGTAAATATTGACTTTGAAATAATTTGGTTTTGGATCCTAATATCTCTTAATCTAATGCAGGTTGTGTGCAGAAATTTCCATGTTGTCAAGTAAGTATAGAGGATGGCAAAGGCAAAATTTGGTGGAATCTTAGAAAAACCTGCTACAGCATAGTTGAGCACAACTGGTTTGAGACTTTCATTGTCTTCATGATTCTCCTCAGCAGTGGAGCACTAGTAAGTAGAAAAAAATTGCAGATGCTAAAATATTTAGGTGTCTCCTTAGAAGCAAGAGCAAAATTCAAATTTGCTTCAGAAAGACTTGTTTTGCTTGGAGCTGTATAAAATTACCTGCATTTCATCATTTCAGGATGGAATGAAACTTGGCCCAAACTTGAAAAATTTTGTTAAATTTCACATGCACTTTTTTAGTGATACTTTTGGTTTACCATTGTAAAGCTGGTGCAATTTTATTCAAGCCAGCATAGCTACTCAAGATTTAAATTGCCTGCCAATTTTCAGCATGTTTGTCAAGAGATTTGAGTACAAAGGCTGTTGTTAACTGTGAATATATAGCTAAATGTATCATTTTAAGTCCTTAATTCCTTCTAGGCTCAGCCACTTCTTGGATTCTGCTTATGAAAGACCATACAAAAAATGGAATAGTTACTTCATTCTGTTCCTTTTTTGGAGGCAGGAGATAGGGAAGAGTGTGAGAGCAAATTAAACCTAAAACAACCACTTTCCAACAAGATTATTTTATAACAACATTATTAATTATAACAACATTACCCACCTTTCCAGCTTTACTCAAGTTGAACATTTTTACAGTATCAATGTGCATAGTGTACATTCTAGCAAATACATTGCTCTTTAATTTGACTCTTAGACATAAGTTTGATTGATAGAGCATAGAAACGTAATCTCCCTAACTGCTTTCTTGAATGGAATATACATTTCTGGAACAGATTTTGTATAAGAAAGGGGCTTTTTTTTTTTTTTGTGTGTGTGTGTGTATGTTAAGGTTTCTTAATACCACAGTGGATGAAAATTCATGCTTTCAGTTTATTTCTTCATTCATTAGGATAATAGGAGATATATATATACACACACAACCCCAGACAGGGCAGAATACATAAAGTTGCTCCAGTTTGTAGTATGGTTAAAGATGGGAAATATGTAAAATAAGAGGATGCAGAAGAACAAGGGGAAAGATTAGCTTTGACCTACTCATTTTTTATTATTTATTCCTTATTCTTATCATGTACGTTCTGTGAAACATTAGTAATACCTGAATATATTTTTTTCATAGGCTTTTGAAGATATATATATCGAACAGCGCAAAACTATCAAGACCATGCTGGAATATGCTGACAAAGTTTTTACATATATTTTCATTTTGGAAATGCTTTTAAAATGGGTAGCATATGGTTTTCAAATATATTTTACTAATGCCTGGTGCTGGCTGGACTTCCTGATTGTTGATGTAAGTACACAGTCTTTAATACTGTAAAATTCACTATAGTAAAGTCCATTACGTTGTAAAACTCATTACAACTAAGTAATCTTCTTATAAACATGCAAAAATAATTCACATTGTATAGTTATACTGCATTAGGAATAGCCTGCAGTGAGCTGGACGTGTTATTTAAAGTACATTTATATGCCAGGAGGAAAAGGATGGCTGGCTATCAGTTTGTTCATTCTTCATGGTTAATAATTTTGTGGCCAGGACGTATCAAACTTAAAATTTTATGAGGAAAAAAACTAATTTTGAAACATGCTATTTTTAATGGACTCTGATCATACTACCTTATTCCTTAGCAAATAATACACTACGTAGTGCAAGTTTCTTCTACAAACATCGCAGCTTTGCAAGTGAAACAATAAATTTGGTCCAGATTTCATCTGAGTTCTCAGAACTTCATCCCCCGAAACTATCCTGTTATCATTTTTAGTAAAACAGAAAGACAGTGGCAATTTGGTCTAAAAATTAATTCATTTTAATGGGTGACAATCTGCAATAGTTAAATCAGCTACGATTTGGCAGGGTTTATGACAGAAGAGAATACAAGGTTTCTTGGCTGCCTTCCCAGCTGTGATATACTTCTTGCAAAGGCCTTGCTTATGTTGTCAGAAGGGATCAAAGCTGGGTTTACACCCCGAATATTTTGGTCTCTTGCCTTCACCCATTATCTGACCCAGTTCATTGGCTATACATGTCCTCAGTGTGGAACTGAGAGATGGCATCTCAGTGCAAATGTGCATTTATAGTAATTTCTGCCCAAGATACCGTATTTCTTGAGAAGTTTGCATAAATCCTGGTCCCATAAATACTTATTCCTTATGAATATATAATAGAAATGCATCGGATTTGTGACTCCCAGAGGAAAAAAAAACTAGCTAGATTGGCCCATAACTCAAAATGGAAGACCTTCTCTTTTTTTTAACCTGCCCAAGTTTGTTTTGTTATACTGTTAATCTCTAGCTCTGTCCTGAAAATCTACACTAGAATGGAGCAGTGTGAATGGATTTTTTTTTAGATAAACTACAACTCATGTTTTAATTATTCTTTTTGTAACATAAACCTAAACAGATTATTCTAAGCAATACTCCATGGTTTCTTAATAATAGTTTAGCCTCAGAGACGCTGTTATCTGAGCAGGCTCTCAGAATTATAAAGAACATCATCATAAATGAAGCAGCACATTTCGCTAAATTTTTACCCATAATTTTTAATTTTATAAACAAAAGCATGACTAAATGAGATTGGAACCTTCTACTTCTGAAGAATTATATTCAATGTTCCAGAAAGTGGTAAAAAATGTCTTACTGTGCCTAAGGCTAATTCAGCAATTCCTTTAGCACCACCAGACAGCACTTGAAATAAATATATGAGCTCGTGTTATCTTCCTATAGAAAAGCAGAGAATCTACACTGCTTTAACAGGTAGTTTAAACAGATGTGATTCAGTGGCATTCTCCCAGTGACAACACCAGTGAGCCCTTCTTCATTAGAAGTGACTAAAGTTAATCAAATTGTTTAATTCCATCCTCTAAAATTATTCAAGACTAAACACTGGTAGTCCTTTAGGGCTTTGACCTTTAATATCTTACATACGTGAGTCTCTCACTGTGAGAAATAGCCATAGTTGCTCGCAGTGATTGTGACCAAATTAGATTTTAATAATTATACAAAGAAATGGCAATTTTCAGCTCTGTCAGTTTACAGCCATGACAGATGACTCTTGGTACATCTGGCTATCTCAGTTTAAGACCTTATCGTGCCATGTCTCTGCCCCACTCTTCTGCTGGATGCAACAATATCAGTAGCAAGGAGCAGATATTTGGGTGGAGTACCTTATCTACCCAAAATCACAATCCGGTAAATTAGTTCCAACGCATTTATCAGTGGTTTAAGCTAAGAGATTGAATTTTGGATGCAGGCAGCTGAGAAGCAGGGACATACTTGCTTTTTTGGGGGAGACTAATTCTGCCAGAATTATCCAGCAAAGGCTTGAGACAGTAATATCTTAACCCAGTACAACTAGATGCTATAGAGCATGTCATCCTGTACCTTGGTTTTTGCTCTTACCCCTTTTTCCAGAAGCCATCTGTCATGAGTTTATTATGTCTAGGTTTTGACGTACAGCTGTAATGACTCTAAGTTCTCTTTACCACGTGGAAAGCTAGGAG